CCTCTGGTCCGTCGTTTTGGTGGAGCTGCTGGAGGAGTTTGTGGCGGTGGCGGACTGAGGCAGGACGACACAGATCAGGTCCCCGGAGACAATGCCGCAGGACGACAGAGTCTGATCAGTGTCTGACAGAAGCTCGGAGCCGTTCAGAGACAAACTAAACTCTGTGTCTGCACTGAGAGACAAGCACACGTTCGTTTCACATCAGGGAAATTGAATGATTCCTGTAATCTAACATAACTTTAAATGTTATCATTCTCAACCAAGTGACACCTTGCAGTTTATCCTGTAATTCACTGCCAGCAGGCGTACCAAGGTTCCTTACAGATACAGTCCCACAACCACCAGAAAGAAAAAAAAAACGCACATATGCACAGAACTATGCATGAAGGATCTGGGTCCAGTGTCTGACCTGAGTGCATGAGAAGACAAGATAGTCTCCTTGATGAGATCTCTGAGTTCTTTTAAATTGGGCTCTTCTCCCAGTAGCTCCACCAGGCTGGTCTGTCGGTTGATCCGAATGCGTAGCTTCATGCTGTGGATGAAACATGATCACAGCTGTCATAGAAAGCCTAGTGATTCACCGTGTACCTAAACATCAAACAGATCAAATTCATCTGGTTTGTGTGCAGTGGCACTGCCATGTTCAAGCTGCTGCTGCTGCTGCAAAGTTGAAAGCACACAAATGTCCAAAATATCATCATGTTGTAGCATCAAGATTGCCTTCATTGGAACCGAGGGGCCTAGACACAACCATGAGAAACACCAAATTAGGTGTAAACATACTTTTGGCCTGATTCTCTTGAGGCCTGGAGCACACATAAAAACAAACCTTGATATGATTTTATTAACAAACTGGTACGAATTCTGTTCGGGTGAGTCCAGATTAGACACAGATTGGGTGGGGACATACCTTTTCCTAAAGCAGAGCATCTTTGAACATTTGTACTATTATTATGTACAAGGTTGACCTGCTAAAAGAACTATAAACAAAAACCTCGGAGTCGGACAGGGTTAATTTGTTCATTTAAACTTCAGAATTTGAAAGACACCACCGACACCTTAGCTAACTAAAAAACGCACATACGACAAGAAGAGATGAAAGAAGTCCAACGTTAGCATAAGTGAAACTTTGTTTTGGAAGAAATGAACTGTTTCGTTTTCATTTCTAACCAGAAACGTTAACGTTAGCTAACTAACGTTTTTCATTTGCTGCGCAGCAGTGGAGCCTGCTAACTTTAGATATTGTAAGATCGTTAATTTGTTTAAGCAGCGTTTCTGGTGATGAAATTGTTCAGAGCCTCCAAACGAAACACAAAACAACTTACATGATGAATTAACTCGATGGCATTCAACAGTTTTCATGACAATTCTCTGATAAATCGCACTGTAAACACAAACCAGGAGCGACCACACGGCTCAACATGTCGCTTCCGGCCAAGACTTTCAAAATAAACACCCCAATTTATTTATTTATTTACAATTTGTCTGCTTAAAGAAGAAAGAAAACCTTTCAGTGGCAGAGTTACCAAACATCACCTTAAGCCAGGAAGATTTTTGTCTACATTTGTTTCTACATTTTTCATCATCCATTTATTTGACATAGCTCAGGTTTCTTTATACATTTTTAAAAGATGTTTTAAAATCTTGGCTGCCTAATCACCCAATAGTAAGGAATTGTTACAGTGTAATGTAATGTGAAGCATTAAACAGTAAGGCGCTGTTTTGTGGTTATAGGCTATCATACCACAGAAATGCAGAATGCTATTTTACTGTAAAATATTATAACACACAATGTATCACATTTTAATATATTTGTCCATCCTGTTTGTTATTTTTAAAGTTATGCTTGATCATATTCCTTTGCTTTTTACAAACCCACATTGTCATTTATATACAGTATGAACTATATTATATTTGATGTTTTATTATTATTTATTTTATTGTTGATCATATACACTATAACAATATATTGAAACTATATTGCCTTTACTTAGTAATTTATCAGCTTTTGCGCAAAAAATACATTACAGTTATTTATAATAGTTTAGGGTATTACACTACATATTTTTTACAAATTGTATTTTTTGATATTTGAAGACATTTTCTTTATTTGTAATGTTTCTTTTGCTACTATGTTATATTCAGAGGTGTTCCTAATATTCTGACCCTCTCATGTATGTCAATGGGCAGGACAAAAATATAGAAACACCTCTGAATGTAATGTAGTCCATTACAACACCACCTTTAACTATGACCTCAATAATGAACATAGAAATGAATTTGTACATTTATGACACTCTCACCAAAAACTGAAACATTTTGAGCTTCATAAACACAAATGTGAAGGCAGACGTGTTGCATTGAAGTGCATACAGATGTACAGGTGGTCATAATGTTATGCTTGATCGGTGTGTATGTATATGATCTTTTATTTTTTTGTTATGTTTTTTGGTGACCAATCAACTTCCGACAAAAGTTATTTGACTACAGCCACCACAAGCGAGCTGTAGAGTGTTAAAGTCTGACTTTTATTAGAACCACCAAAAAGACTAAATATAACGCATATTTTATTAACGTATATTTAGTCTTCTTTTGAGTTTTAGTCTAACAACGACATTTTGTTTGCGTTTTGGATCATCTTCATGCGTCATGCTATTAACAATCGCGTTTTCTGCCTAAATACTTGCGGGCTTCCGTCTCTTCCTTGCTGCTGGCATTTGGCACCAAACAGCCGTTGAATCGCAGCGTTAATTTCTGTGAGTTATAACATTTCTGGATCCAGAAAATGAGCCGAAATTACAACGATGAGCTGCAGTACCTGGAAAAAATCAACAGTAACTGCTGGAGGATTAAAAAGGGGTTTGTTCCCAACATGAAGGTGAGAATCTGTTGGTTGTGGACGTGGTTAGCTGGTTAGCTTAAAGAGCTACTGTAATTAACTAATACAGTCGGTGAGCACGTCAGATAGTTTCATAGACTGTCACCATACAGGAAAACACAACTGAAAATACGACAATAATCATTTTAATGTAGTTATAACAATCAATAAAATTAAACATGAAATCTGCCTCAGATTTTAGTTGCACCTGCTAACGTAGCTCAGTGATGCAACCATTAGCCGTAAAATGTAAACCGAGTTAAAGGGAGGATCCTACTATTAATGTATAATCTGACATGTGTTATTTCACGTCCTGCAGTATTGGTAAGTAGGCGTCTTGAAATACAAGACCCTAATTTTCAGATTGAATTCAGCCCAAGTTTAGAACATTGCCAAAGCCGCTATTAATATTTGGAAGAGCAAAACGTCTTATTAGTTTTTTAAAGTACATAAACTCGCATTTTCAGAAGGATTAATAGAATGTGGGCTAAGATAAAAATATCAATAGATACCTACATAGTTTCATGAGAGGGTGGTAATCTCAAAGTTCACACCTTGCAGTTATGTAAGAGTCCTTAAACTGAAGTTTTTCTATGGGAGTTCCACACAAGAAGAGCAAAATTAGACAGTTGGAAGTGTCACATTGGACTTGAAAAAACTGGGATGGAAATGTGATGTTTTCTGACATTTTATAGATCATTAATAGATGATCTACAAAATAAATCAAAAGTTACACCTGGTGACATGGTGATGCAGCTGTTCACTGTGGAATGTCAGCTGAATGAAAGGGAGGATCCTACAGAAAAAGATATAATCTAATAAATGTACATCCTGCAGTGTTAGTAAGCACCTTAAAGAAGAAGCTGATTTGAACTCTGCACAAGTTTAGAATATGACTCTTCATGCTAATGGCGATATCTGAAAAACACCTGATTTTTCTTTTAAATATACAACAAGATACAACACAAACATTTTAAAACAGAAATTCAGTGACGATAATGTAAGATGAACACATTAACATTCATTAAGATAAAATGCCACAATAACAGTCTCCATCCTTCAGGTCGAAGGGATTTTCTATGTGAATGACTCTCTGGAGAAACTGATGTTTGAGGAGCTTCGTAACGCCTGCCGAGGAGGAGGTCAGTGGAGCTGTTTAACCCTGAAATCATCTCCACCAGTGTACACAACATCTCCTGCTGTGATTTACTCATACTGTATATTTTGTTTTCCCCAGGCGTGGGTGGTTTCCTTCCAGCCATGAAACAAATTGGCAATGTGGCAGCACTGCCTGGAATTATACACGTGAGTACCGGGATTACTTGATCTTTACAAAAGATTCAAAAGAGAAAAGTGTTAAAAGCTGGAAGATTGCTTGTTGCATTTTGTGTTTATCGTTCAGTCCACATTAGAGTGAAAGAACACAAGAAAGGAGCCACAAGGTCCCAGCTGGACTTTGGTCTGTGGGCAAAAAATAACAGCATGAATAGTTTTTATTCCTCAGTGAACTTCATCCAAAGTGCAGTAAAGAGAGAAACCTAAACCAGACCAGTATTTGCTGTGCCCACCCAGTCCACCTGCACACAGTGTTTCGAGGTACTGGGTAGGAAGCTTGTTCCAGTGTCTTGGAGACGCTGCCACAGTGCCTGTGTGGACGCAGGCTGTCTCAGTGTCTCTGCATGTGATTTCACACTGACTCCATGACGCTGAGGTCAAGGCTCTGAGGGGGCCAGACCATCTGCTGCAGGAATCCTGGTCCTTCTGGTCTCTGGTCTCTGAGCAGAGTTCTTTATTACTCTGGTGAAGGTCTGGGCTCAGTGTCAGGTTGCAGGATGGATCTGGGGCTGATCAGATCCCTAAAGTTTAAGACATCTAACATGTCAAAACCTTTTTGTGTGTGTTAAACCTCTGGATCGTCAGCATGTTTGTGTTCACACCGTCTGTTTAATCCATCCCAGAGGTCCATCGGGCTCCCAGACGTCCACTCTGGATATGGATTTGCTATCGGAAACATGGCAGCCTTCGACATGAACGACCCTGAAGCTGTGGTGTCTCCAGGTGCATCCCACTCTTCAGACAATTGTAGAGATGGAACATCCCTGAAGGGTTGTTTTAATATGGCTGTCTGAGGTCTGTGTCATGCAGACAGAAGGCTGTCACATGGGTCCAGTGTATTTCACTAGAGCAAGATGTGAAAATCTTTTCTATGTACTAATTCAAGAACGGAGTGAAAATCAAACCAGTCTAATTTTGAGATCCCGCCCTCCTAAGATAACAGTACCACCAAATGCAAAAGTGACTTTACCCAGTAAATGTCCAATATTTTAATTGGTATTAATTCATATACTTGTAGGACTCAAACATGTGAAATTGCAGCTTTGTTTTCTAATTCTGTATCCAGCTTGCTCTGATAAAGCAGCACTCCCTGGTCATTGTTCCTGCAGGTGGGGTGGGATTCGACATCAACTGTGGTGTCCGTCTGCTGAGGACAAACCTGGATGAGCGGGATGTTCAGCCAGTGAAGGAGCAGCTGGCCCAGTCTCTGTTCGACCACATCCCAGTGGGAGTCGGGTCCAAGGGAGTCATCCCCATGGGAGCCAAGTAAGGAGGGGCCCACTCGGGCTGATACCAGATCACAGCACAGAGCGTCTCAGCCTGTCTCACCTGTCTTACCTGTGTGTCCTCAGGGACCTGGAGGAGGCTTTGGAGATGGGTGTGGACTGGTCTCTGAGGGAGGGCTATGCCTGGGCCGAGGACAAGGAGCACTGCGAGGAGTACGGCAGGATGCTGCAGGCCGACCCCAACAAAGTCTCCTCCAAGGCCAAGAAGAGAGGGCTGCCACAGGTGGTTTCATCTGGAGTCACCTTACAGACACCACATTACACAGGGCAGTCACTGCAAAGATTCAATATGACAAACAGTTTGAATAAATAGAGCACAAAAATATTCTGCTCGCTTTCTGCTCTGAGGACACAAGTGCTCACCTGCCCCGGTGCTGCAGCTGATGCCTGCATGTTAGAGCCACAGCTGACTCTTACTCTTGTTACTTCCATCGGGCCTCCTTCAGAACCATCAACAGTTCAGTTCAGGGTTGCTGCAGGCCTGAAAAAGCTTTGAGTTCAGTTTCCTCAAAAAATAAAAGGCTTTTCGAATCTAATATCATTCCTAATATTCTGAACTCCTCATACAGTATATGTCAAGGGGGAGGACAAATAAGTAGACACCTGGGACTATGCTGCAGTCCAGTACAACACCACCCTCGGTAAAAACTGAGCTTCCTACAGACAGATGTTACCGCAGGGCTGTTGTGTTGGATTGCAGTCAGTTGTACGAGTGTACCTGATAAAGTGAAGGTGTTTTTGTGCGTTGAAGCTGGGGACTCTGGGAGCAGGAAACCACTACGCTGAGATCCAGGTGGTGGATGAGATCTACAATGACTACGCCGCCAAGAAGATGGGTATCGACCACAAAGGCCAGGTGTGCGTGATGATCCACAGCGGCAGCAGAGGCCTGGGACACCAGGTGGCCACAGGTGGGCGCAGTCTAACACAGCTGTCAGAGCAGGGCTTTGTGTCTCGACCGAGGAACAAACACACAAAGGTTTTCACACAGTCTGGATTTGTCAGAACACCTGGAGTCCAGGTTCAGTTGGAAACCTCCCTTACTCCATCTGCATGATGTCAGAACAAACCTGTGAGTGTCCTGTTGTCAGCTTCACACAGTTCAACGCTGCCAGGAAAGCAGAACACATGAAGAATGACCCCAGTAATTGTTTGTCACAGGCCACCACAGTTTTTAAAGTTTCTTTCAAAACATTTGTGTGGTCCAGAGACAGAGATGATGTGTGCAACATCTGTAAACATGTTGGTGTTGTTGACAGATGCTCTGGTTGCCATGGAGAAGGCGATGAAGCGGGATAAGATCACGGTGAATGACCGACAGCTGGCCTGTGCTCGTATCACCTCAGAGGAAGGCCAGGACTACCTGAAGGGCATGGCTGCTGCAGGAAACTACGCCTGGGTCAACCGTTCATCGATGACCTTCCTCACCAGACAGGTGTGTACACAGCTGAGCAGGCAGGGCTGTTCGCTGGGGCCCGGCTTTCTCACATTACTGTATTTTTCAGGCCTTTTCTAAAGTGTTTGGCACCACGCCGGATGACCTGGACATGCACGTCATCTACGACGTTTCGCACAACATTGCTAAAGTGGAAGAGCACATGGTGGATGGGAAACAGAAGACTCTGCTGGTCCACCGCAAAGGATCCACCCGAGCCTTCCCCCCGCACCACCCCCTCATCCCTGTAGACTACCAGGTACACACAGTCCAGCAAATCCTTCGGGCTGGGTGTAGGGGGTGTAGGGTGCTGTTGGAGATCTCAACCTACCACTTCTGTGTTTGATCAGCTCACGGGTCAGCCGGTGTTGATCGGAGGGACGATGGGCACCTGCAGTTACGTCCTCACAGGGACCGAACAAGGAATGACAGAAACGTTCGGCACCACCTGTCATGGAGCAGTAAGAGTCCCGTCCTTCAGTTAGCAACATTTTCTAATAGTGCACGGACCGAGAGAGCGAGACAACGTCGTCTGGTTGTGGTGGGCCTCAGACTGAGGCTGGGCGAGAGGCCGACTGCTCCGCATGTAAACGGCACACTTTCAGACTTGTCTGTTGTTTCAGGGTCGCGCTCTGTCTCGAGCAAAGTCCCGCAGGAATCTGGACTTCCAGGACGTCTTGGACAAACTGGCTGACATGGGCATCGCCATCCGAGTGGCTTCACCCAAACTGGTCATGGAGGAGGTGAGCAAACTCCCGAACACCGGCATTTAACTTTCAGTTAGCTCCAAGTGTGACTAAAAGTTAATAGAGATACTGAATTTATTATGTGAGGATCAGTTTGTTTTACCAAAGTTCACTTTACACAACATCTTATGTTAGTGATCAAGTTTCATTCTTGCATATTTCAGAAGGTTAGGGTTATTGTATTTGTGTTATTTGTAAAATAGTATGGACTTTTCTTTTGTACTTTTATTCACTACACAAATACATACAGTCAGGGAAAAAATTATTTGAACCCCAGCTGATTTTGTAATTTTGCCCACTAACAAAGAAATGATCAGTCTATAATGTCAATGGTAGGTTTATGTGAACAGTGAGAGACACAACAATAACAAAAAAAAACCCCAGAAAAATGCATTACAAAAAAAGTTATACATTAATTTGCATTTTCATGAATGAAATAAGTATTTGATCCCCCATCAGTCAGCAAGCTCTCTGGCTCCCAGGTGTATTTTATACAGGTAACGAGCTGACATTGGGAGCCCTCTCAGCTCGTTACCTGTATAAAAGAGACCTGTCCACAGAAGCAATCAATCAATCCAGATTCCAAACTCTTCACCATGGCCAAGACCAAAGAGCTTTCCAAGGATGTCAGGGACAAGATTGTGGACCTACACAAGGCTGGAATGGGCTACAAGACCATCGCCAAGCAGCTGGGTGAGAAGGTGACAACAGTTGGTGCGATTATTCGCAAATGGAAGAAACATAAATTAACTGCCAATCTCCCTCGGTCTGGAGCTCCATGCAAGATCTCACCTCGTGGAGTTTCAATGATAATGAGAACGGTGAGGAATCAGCCCAGAACTACTTGGGAGGAACTTGTCAATGATCTCAAGGCAGCTGGGACCATAGTCACCAAAAAAACAGTTGGTAACACACTACGCCGTGAAGGAATGGAATCCTGCTGTGCCCGCAAGGTCCCCCTGCTCAAGAAAGCACATCTACAGGCCCATTTGAAGTTTGCCACTGAACATCTGACTGATTCAGAGGAAGACTGGGTGAAAGTGTTGTGGTCAGATGAGACCAAAATCGAGCTCTTTGGCATCAACTCAACTCGCCGTGTTTGGAGGAGGAGGAATGCTGCCTATGACTCCAAAAACACCGTCCCCATCGTCTAATATGAAGGTGGAAACATTATGCTTTGGGGGTGTTTTTCTGCCAAGGGGACATTTGTAATGCATTTTTCTGGATTTTTTTTGTTATTGTTGTGTCTCTCACTGTTCACATAAACCTACTATTGAAATTGTAGACTGATCATTTCTTTGTTAGTGGGCAAACTTACAAAATCAGCTGGGGTTCAAATAATTTTTTCCCCCACTGTATTTAAGTTTTTGTTGGTTATTAATTTAAAAAGTGCTTTCAAGTTGTTTATATATTTTTGTTCATTTCATTGAACTTTAGTTTTTATTTTCTGAAGCTCTATTATATATTATAAAGCTCTATGCTTCATTCCCAGGCTCCTGAATCATACAAGAACGTGACAGATGTGGTCAACACGTGTCACGACGCCGGGATCAGCCAGAAGGCGATCAAACTACGACCCATCGCTGTGATCAAAGGCTGATGCTGCAGTTAGACAATTTAGTGCAAATCAAGGTTGTGGACTCATGATGCAGGAATCTAAGTTCTTTTTCCTTTTGAAGTGAATTTATGTTGAGAAACTGCAGAGGAAACAGGAAACTGAAAATCTGATTTCTGACCTTTAAAATGTTTAGTTTTTGCCAAATAAAGATCATTTCAGAAATGAATTTAACCTAATATGCTTCAACAGCATTTCTGTGACGTGTCCATAAGTGCAACAGAAATATTTTTGAAAATTGTTTGATTTTCCTGTACATGAATTCACTGTGAACTCCAAACTAAAAGTTGTCCTTGATGTATTTTTGAATAGTTGTAACTTCTCTGATGAAGACAGTTGAAAGGAGACTGAGTGGAAACCCAACCAGCAGGGTCACTAATCAATCAGCTGATCATTGTCCTGATGATCTGATTGTTCCCAGAATGTCAGACACTGAGTAAAAGTCCCACTGTGACTCTCCAGAGCCAAAGGTGGCGTCTCCAAATGTCTTGTGTCCAACCAGCAGACTCACAGAGACTCAGCTGATTCTCATGTCTGACAAAGAAAAGCATCAGCTCCTCACATTAAAGAAGGTGGAACCAGAACATGTCGGTGAATGTTGCTTCTAAATTTGATTTATTTGATTTGATTTATTTATTCTTAAATAGCTGAGGTTCATTTTCTACCAGTGAACTGACTCATGGCTGCAGCTCTAGGTCACTGAGTGGCTTCATGAGGACGACACAGTGAGTCGGACACAGAGGGTCGGACACAGTGAGGGGATCTGGTTCGGAAGCAGGACGTTTCCTCCTCTGATAGAGGAGACCTGACACTGCTCTGGAGACACTTTCCATCTGTGTTACAGTGGTTTTACAATATATTTTACAGAGATCCTTCATAGAGGTGGCACACAGTTCATCAGACAAACTGTTGTAGGAATCTACTGAACCTCTTTAAAATATTTATATTGAGTTATGTTTGAAGATTTCAGTTTTTTGGTCACAAACACATCATCTTCTTTTCACAGTTGCCTATAAGAAAAATGTAAACCACCACTGGAGGTATACTTATGCAGGTTTTATTAATGCTGTTTGCCTGTGTGACCACATGTAACTGAAAGCAACAGGCACTTTCTCTGCTCTTCCAAAGGCAAACATTCACAGAAAATCTACCACATCTGCAGCTAAAGAACAAGTGAAAACAAATTAATGAAATTACAAGGAAAGCACTAAACCTGACCCTGTGACGCTGACAGAGGAAACAGTAGGGTGACTGAGGTGAAACAGGAGCTCCGGAGTCATGATATCCAAAGCCTGACAAGAAAAATATCTCTTCAGTTCAGGGTTTTGCATTTTTCACATCAGCAAAAAGATCAGACAGTGTTTACAGTTATTTTGTCTCCCGTCACCTGGTTTTAACTGTTGAACAGCTCCTTCACAGTATTGCTCACAGGAAAGCATTGCGTCATTAATGAGTCGATCATCCTGAACCGTCACAAATGCTTCAGTATAAAAATCATCGAGCTGCTTCTGTACATGGGCAAATTCATGTTTTTACACAAGATGTACAGGAGTGCTTCCTATGAAGGTGTGTTTTTATGGAAGCTCGTTAACGCCAAAAAAAGTTTGGAATGAAACAAATAAACATACTTCTAATTCAAGATTGTCTTTAGTCACAATTACAAGAACTAAATAATGAATTCATTGATTTAACTTAAATCAAAATCTTGATTCAGTCAAGTTATGTTAGTACATTAAATCAAGGTGACAGTAAATTAAAGTGTACAATTAGGTCAGACATTTGACTTTTGGTACAATTAGAAGATTTAGTTTTACTAATTCAACATTTTGAGACCATTTTACTAAATTAAAATATGAAAAGGTCCAATCACTTTTCAAGTCAGGTTATGAGGTCAAAATTTGAGCAAATTAGAATTATAAAAATAAAAGTCAAAATATAACTCTAAATAAAAAAGTCAAAATATAACTCCAAAGCTAACACTAAGTCAACATTTACAAGTCAAAATGGGATCAAGTCAAATTATAAGTTCCATTATACGTTTAAGCTTTAGTCTCTGTTTAAGTATTTTTATTGTCATCATTCCTAACTTCTTTTTTTTTTAAGCAGAAACAGATTTCCATGTTTAGTTTCCAGATGGGAATGAAGATTTAAAAAGAAAAAACCTGAACCTAGGAACTTTATTTACATTTTTAACATCATACTCTGTTATTTACAGTTTGTTCCTCCAGTTTATGTTCATTTCCATCTGAAATTAAAACAGTGTCAGTCATACTTGCAAGAAACTACAATATTCCATGGACTATTACTCTTCAGTTTTACCATAAACCCAGTGTGGCTGCGAACAGCCCATCTTCATCAGGTCAGGTAACAAATAAACCAAGTGGCTGAGACAACTTAAATCAACCATCCGTTCTCCTCAATGCGTTCAATCAGAAAATCGGCGCCATGTTTAAATAAAAATACTGTGTCAGCCCTTATTTTGTGTCCATTCTAAGGCAGCGAAGGACGTTTTAAAATGTGGTTTCTAATGTTACGGTTCAACTATAATAAAGCTTTAACTTCACAAATCCTACGATAATACGTTTTCCACACAGGTAGTGTCTTCTCCTCCAGGTCTGTGTTTAAGCCCTTTTCATGCGACTCAAAGTTTTAACAAATTTCTCCACAGTTCTGATCAGGAAGCGAGCTCCTCCGTGCCTCGAGTCCACGTGGACAGCTCGTCTCGTTTCGTCTGGAGGGATTTAACTGTCCGCCAACCCTCTCCCCGACTTAGACTGGGTTTTGTTATATACTCTTTAAGTGCAAACGCTGCTCCTAAGTTACGTTTTCTTGTTAAGTGGCGGCCACCTTCTGTGAAGAGTCCTTTCAGTCCAAGTGAACTTCCAGTTGTATTTTCTACAGCTTTGCTCTCTGAAAGAATGCCTGCACAGAGAGGAGGCAGAATCATCAGGTGAGTTAGAAGTCGAGTCACTGACAGCAGCCAGCATCACACATTGTAATGAACACACACACACCTTAATGTAGTTTTTCAGGACTTTGACGTCCGGCTGCTGAAGCACCTGACACAGCTCCTGAGCGCCGGAGAGACAACATCACAGACTGTTACTGTACACACAGACAACACAAACTGGGCTGCAACCCACTGTGGTTTCTTATTAATTGCTTGGTCTATAATAGGTTACGAATAACCAACAGCCATTAAAGGCATCATCAGCAAATGACAGGAGCGCTGCACAACACTTCACTGCAGGTGAGGTTTAAAATGACAGGACCAACACCTGCACCACCAACATGAGGCAACAAGGGCTGGAATTAAAATTAGAACTGGCGTAAAAACAAAAACATGAATCACTCTTAATAAAAATAAATAAATCAATCTCTGCAACCGAGTCTTTCTTCGGATGTTTCCCAGCATCTTACCTGTGAGATTTCTGGAGACACCTGAAGTGAAGGCAGATACTCCTGCTGTAAGAACTGAATAAACTCCGGCCCCTACAAGAAGAGACAATACAATTATTTATGTCTAACCACAGTCAGAAGGAATTCCTCCCTGGTTTAAAATACGAGGATTCTTTATGTGAATCCAGACAAACTGCTTTTACCCGTTTGAGATGAATCATCTTCAGTGTGAGAGCACACTCAGAGAGTGTCTGCAACACAAAGACCAGTGGTACTGAAGTTTAAGGGGAAAACTATGTAAATTGGATGTTTTTAGGCTGGACTCTTGTACAGAGGCTCACCAGTACTGTCTGAGCATCTGAGAGGTCAAAGGTGGGTTTGAGAGGAGCCAGGAAACATGCAGGGACGATGTTCTTGTAGATGAAGTCGGGGAAGCCCACCATGCCGTCTTTGCCTCCTGCAGAACAGAAAACACCAGAAGACAAACACAAAAAACAAAGCCATGAAATTTAGGAGGAGGTGGAAAACTAAACCACAGCTTGATGCATTTCTAGATTTTCTCACCCCAGAGCTCGACCAGTTTGGAGAGGATGATGAAGCAGGTCTTTTGAGCGATGGGGTCGGGGAAATCCACAGCTCCCTGGATGATTGTGAACACAACCCGCTCTATGTTTTCTGCTTCTGCAAACACAACATTCACAAGATTAAACAGCTTCCACTGTGCTTTGGCAGGAAAGTCTGTCTGCAGCTCTGATTATTGGCCTTTACTTCCATCACCTCAACAACAAACGGTTTGAACATCCAGGGTTATTCTCAGGTTTGGAGGTCAAGGGTGCATTTAAAGCTCCGCATGATTGTAACATACAGTAAAATGAATGAATTTCATGAAGTCCATTAAAGCAATACCTTTGGAAAATATGTTTTATTTTCTTGCCGACAGATGCTCTGATCAATTGCACTCATTATGATGCTACAGCCAGAGCTGGTTAGCTCATCTTAGCATAAAGAGGGGGAACTGGCTAGCCTGGCTCTGTCCTAGCAGCACCGACACCTTCCACCTGGTCTACAGGAGTTATACACACAAACATCCTATCATACAACTGAAATTAGGCAGGTAACATTAAGGTTCCTGAGGGATTGTTTGGTTGTACACGTGCCAAGCTGTAAATCCCACATTAGTACCACAAACAAACCTTCACTGTCGCTGTTTAACTCACCCTGGTTGGCCATCACCTCGTTCATGCCACTTCCTGTGATGGTCTGGATGAAGCTGAAGTAGCTCCTTCTCAGCATCTGTTTTTCCAGAGCTGCTGTCTGGTCGTTGTCCTCCGCCGGCCGCGCCAACACCTCGAAGATGGCGAGCACCAGCGGCATGAAAACCTGCTGCAGGAAGGGAGACACCTGCCGCTGCCATGGCAACGGGAGAAAAAGCTCAGTCACCATGGGAACTACAATCATCATACAGTTGGTTACGGGTTTATACCCATGTGTGTCTGCTTTTAGCTTTAATCTCGGTCTGAAACGAAGATTGTGCTACAGCTGTCTAAGATGAGGGATGACAACGATTTGTCAGTTACTGAACGTTTGCTGTTAATAACTGAATGAATTAAAAATTATTAACCGACAGAAGACGGCGAGGCCGTGCTCTGTCACACAACGTACTGCAACTGTGGTGCTGAGGTTGAGGACAAACAGCGCTGCATTCTCTGGACTGGTCAAGCTGGTCAGACAGTATTTGTACTTCCTGAAATATGTAGTAAACAATGACCAGACTTTCCAGCAAACCTTGAACTTGGCCGTGATCTGGCTGATGAGTGGGATGAACTCCTGTAGATCTTTGGCCTCACAGTCCTTCAGCATGTGCTCGGAGGCGGCGGGGACGAAGGGCAGCACCTCCTCCTCCAGGCAGATGATCATTCGATGTAGGAAGGAGCGAACCGAGCTGCGCAGCACCCCCCGCTGGATGGGGCAGCTCAGTGCAGGCAGGAAGGTCTGCAGACAGTCCCTGTAGACCTCTGTACAGCCACACTGCTTCACCGTCTGCTTGTTGCTGAACGCCTTGCTGGTCCGACTGCCAAAAGAAGCGGGGGCGGGGGGGGGT